AATTCTTGCAAAAAAGGTGGTAAGACAAAGCAAAGAAAAATAATCTTTATATTTTTTTACCACTTATGCCTAGACTAATTAATATTACTATTCAGTTTAATTAAAGCATATCTAGTTCGTCTGGAGGACTCTATCGGTTAAAGCATGTTATATTTCTTCGTTTTTGGATAATACGTTGCAAGAAACAATTCAAAAATCATCCTCAATTGCAGACACTGGTTGTGTTCATGTTTTATATATACGCCTGAATAAAAATGGTTTCAGTCGTTTTTCTAAATATATCACCAATATAAAAATACATTTTTAGAAAAATAATTATATATTCTAGCAGCGCTCGAAATTCTTCATTATCCTATATATTTATGCCTTGACTTGCACTTATTTGCTGAAAAATATTTCGAGTACAATGAAAGGCAACTTCATCGTCAAATTCCCACGAATTGCATTTTTTATTCTTTTTTTAGTTGTTTTTTCAAATTTATTATCAATATAAAAATAACTTTAAGATAATTCTTTTTGGTAATGGGTAATAATTTGAACAAGAATATTATAGCGATAACAGCAGCTTTAAACATCATATATTTATTTCAATATTCATGTCAACGCTTCTCTGTTTGAAATAGTATTTTCAAGATATAGTATGAAAACGAGTCTGACAGGACTCTTATAGAATAAAATATAACAGTATATTTTCACTGAAGTATTTCAGTGATAAGGCTGTAATTTCTATTAATAAATTATAGTGTACTGTACGTACAGTACACTATTCCTGATCCTTCGGTGGACTATTAAAGTTTGATTTTGACTCTTGGTTTTGATGAAAAGTCCTTCGGAGTAAATTACTAACGAAACGGACGCGATAGTTTTGTTTAATTCAGGCTGTCAAGCTAGAATTGCAAGTGATTCTCAGACTAACAGTATGTTGTATCCGGTATCTTTTGATATCACCTTCCAGTCGGCCCAATTAATTTTATAATCTATTTCCAGTTTGTGTCTGCGAAGAGCTGATTTGATGTCTGTCATTTATTATTTCCATCACTGTCATATGATGGTTCTTTTATTGAAAAATAAACAACTTTTTTGGCTATATTTTGCTGAGACCGTCATCGTAATCAGGTACCTGTTGTAGCTGTTAAGTCTGTCGAGTAGGTGAGTTGAGGCGAAACTATGTTACAGCCTTATCACTAAAATACTTCAGTGAAAATATACTGTTATATTTTATTCTATAAGAGTCTTGTCAGACTCGTTTTCATACTATGTCTTGAAAATGCTGTTTGAAACAGAGAAGCGTTGACATGAATATTGAAATAAATATATGATGTTTAAAGCTGTTGTTATCGCTGTAATATTCATAAAAATAACTTTAAAAAAAAGTAATATATTCTGGTAGCGCTTGAAATTCTCTATCATCCTGTGCTTTGCCGGCCTTGACTTGAAATTATTTGCTGACAAATATTTCATATATTGTTAATGTACTCACGTATCACATGGATTGCATTCGATGAAAAATAGAAAATACTGAGAGGCTGTACCCGTTACAATTCCGGAAAGTGTGATAGGTGGGGTGTATTAATAGTATTCAAAATTTTTGCTAGCAAATAATTTCGAATCCAGACTGGAAAAACAGAGACTAATAGAGAATTTCAAGCGCTACCAGAATATATAATTATTTTTCTAAAATGTATTTGTATATTCATAATAAATTCCAAAACACGACTGAAAACTATTTTTTTACAGGTGGATATGGACAACGACTTAAAAAGATAAAACCACATCTTGGACAAATCGAAAAATAGTGTCTAAATAAGCATTTTTTCGACTTAGTAGATTATTTAATTAAATTCTTCGATACAGCATACAGATCATGAAATGTAATATCGTTTTCCACTACCGACTTTCTCTCTAATATTCTTAGAAATAGATTCATTTTTCACAAGAAACGAAACATAAAATGCACTAGAGTAGATTGAAATAGTGTTTTCATTTCTTAAGAAATGAAAACACTATATCAATCTACTCTACTGTGTGTTAATGTTACGCTGAAATACTAGCCTGTATTTTCTGATTACAGTACAACAAGTGGATATTTCCATAGGTAGACATTTTTGTAATATTACAAATGCTAGAACCTCCAATTAGAAGGAGAAAAATCTCAAAACTTGCCATTGTTTTGGAATTTTAATGGGGGATAGTCATGAATTTTTATCGTGCAAAATGGAAACAGAATATTGACATCGTGGTTTTGAGGCACGAATAGTTTGTGTCTTTAATGAAGTTGACTTTTCATAAATGCTTATTGAAAAAAGTAATACAAAACCGATCTTAGTACGTGAAAAATGGTCGAAAACGACGATTAATTGAATCAATCTTAAGTTTAAAAATGAATGACAAATTAAAAAAAGAAGTGAAACTAAATTCGTTAGAAGTGGCTGAGCACAAAGAAAATGCTCATTAAATGTTTCCTCCTTTTTTCCATTAGACTTTTTGAACGCGTATTTTAAACACGCTTATTTCGAACAACTTCTTTTTTTTTTTTTTGTTTATTTTAAATGTTTTTTTAGTTTATTTAAATACTAGAAATGACAAAACATATATGCGATTCAGTCAACCGATCTCATTTTATTCACGAAAATTAATTCATTTCACCAGAATATAAAAGAAAGAAAATATTTTCTAGCATCTTTTATGCATCCTTCTTCTTCATTAAACTACTACCAAAACAGACTTCGTCTACTATTCGATTTTTACTATTTACCTATAATGAATGAACTAGCAAGTGCATGATGCTTTTTTATACTTCTTTTGAGTTAATACGCGGAAAAAACATAGAAAAATAAATTAAAGAGATACATATATATTTTGCTGAATTAGATAATAAAAAAATAAAGTTACAGACATCTTGTTTTGAACAGGAATAACCGATAAGTAACATTTATTGTACAAATACAAAATAAAAAGACTAGATTAGAAATGCACTATTATAAATATTTTTTCACCTACATCTTTCTGTGTACAGCCAGAAAAAACTGACTTTAAGAAATGAATGTGTCATATGAAAGAAAACAGACGATTTGTTCACATGAAAAGCCAAGCAGAGTACCTGTAATATATTAGATAAAATTCAAGAAGTTTTAGACGAAAAGTGTTCCATGAACGCTTCTACTAGAATAAAAACCATTAAGTTGTCTTGACCTCCGGCATAAGAACCACTTCAGGCTGTAAACTAAACCTAAGACAAAAGATACAATGTTACATTAATATTAATGCTGCAAAAAGTATTTACCATTGTGTACGTTTTTCGCCGGACTTCAAATCACTCAAAGAAAGGTTAACCTGAAATATGAGAAAAATAATTTATTCAGATCTGCAATATTCAACTCTTATCAGCTTTTTCTATATAACTTGGTCTGATAAATATCATGTAGTAAGTCTTTGCTGCTTAGGCATGTTCTTGTACGAACGAGCGAGGGTTTTTTAAGTGCTTTCCCTCTGTCAGACAAGTCAATTTTCGTCAAAATTATCGATTTTGAGATTTATACAAGATTGGATAGTCCAACGTGTTTATTTTCAGAATCTATATTACTTTCTGTCACAGAAATGAGTTTTCAAGGTTTCACAAAATGTTTTTTGTGAAACCTCGAAAAATAAAATATTCAAATTCTAGTTTTTTTCCACATTACTTGTGCCATTAAACTATTTTCTGAAGCCGTAGATTTGTAGTAACCTTCTCTGATCACAATGAGACACAGCATAACTCTGTGTGATTTTCTGTTAAAAAGTTACAGGCATTTTCCTACAAATAAAGTGCACTAACAAATACACAACGTGTTTCTCGAAATCGTTTTCAGAAAGTTAGCCAGAAAACGATGACGCTATAAAAGAACTCTTGGTTACATTTTGAGACCACCGCAAACTGCTTTATAACTCAGAATGGAAAAGAAATCTTTGCCGCACAAAAACCTATTTTTTGCCTCTTATTTTTAGGATAAGTCTTAGAAAATTCAATGGCTTTTGACCAAGGAATCTATCAGTAGGTTCAAGAACATTTTCTTTTCAAAAAGAAATTTGGCACCTGAAGAATAGTGTTAGGTACCTACAATAAAAATTCTAGCCTGGACGGATGAAATTTCAGGGTGGTCATAAGCGGCGCCGACTGAGTACACTAGCAAAAAACGATGTTTTAATCCAGAAACGTTATAATACGAAACTTAACTTTTGGAGATCTTTCAGCAAAATGATTATAACTCTATCAGAAAACATGATATGGAGTTGGGTGACATCGCAATTTGTTCAAAACTCTTTGCGCCAAAAGGCTGACTATATGAAAAACTTTCAAGTACCGAAAGAAGAAAAAAGTTTTGAAAGTTAAAAAATACAGTTTTTAAAATAACTGTAAAAAATTCATATCCCGCCAGCAAAAGGTCGTGTAGAACTAGGAGTGATCTTACTTTGTAGAGGACACGTCACGCTATCATGCATTATATTTAATTAAAAAATGAAAATTTTTTCTAAAATGTATCCTTAATATCAACATTCATAGGATAAGATACATATTCTATAGAAATTTTGTCAAAAGCGGTTGTTCTAGGACGAAAATAGGTTTCTGACAGAGGGATCTTAAACAAAAATGACAAGGTGAGAAGCGACTATTGCGTACATCGGACGCTCAACATTCAAATACATCTACTATATGTTCCAGAAATAGAACAGATCCAAACGAAAAAAATTGAGCCCATTTTCTTACTTGACCGACAAATTGTGTTTCACTTTTATGTTTAATATTTAAAGATAATATTTTTTTTCTTAAATTTTCGTACGTTATTACAACTTCAAATGCGTGATTCTTTTGTGAATTCAATTTCTCGACTTTTATTGTTTGATCTATATGGTTATTTTCATTCGGTAATAAATTTACACTGATATCCAAATCACTCAAATGATTTTTATTTGGGTCTATAGCATCTTCTAATTTCAGCACATTGACTAAAAATTTACTTCGTTCATCATCGTACATATAGAACAATTCAATTCGACGATTTGATTCAAATATCGGAGTTAAAGATGTTTGATGATGAACAATTATTTCATGAACGGCAGGATCGTGTTCAAATTCCTCTAATTCATGAGTAAGTTTCGAAAATAATTCCGGATCTGTTGTTAATGATGATTTACGAGATCGACTCTCATGAACAATAGGATCATGTTCAAATTTTTCTAGTTCATCAGTAATTCTTGATGATAGGTCATCTTCAGCTAAAACAGGCTTCGTTGAGTTGTTCGTTGTAACAGAACTGTGCAAATTTAATTTGCTATCATTTTGGTGATTGTTATTCATTACTGGATGATGATTTATTTCAATGATTTCTCTTAGAGAATGATCTTTATCTGTATCTGTCATTTTAGTTGGTAATTCAGAATTAGAATTTTGTTCAGACTCGGAACGAGTATCTTTTTTATGATCATCGTCGACTGGTTGTTGATAAAATGATTGTACAAGTTTTTCTTCTCCATTTTCACTTATCTGTTCAATTTTCTTTTCTAGTTCATGTAATTCAGTAGAAAAATCTTTTGCTGCTTGTCTAACTAATAATGGATCTTCTTCCAATGTTGTTCTCGAATCTTGCACTTGACATGAATCCGATTTTTCTGATGCAAAATCGCAGAAACTATAGTATTTATTATCAGTGAACTCCTTTTTTTCATGTGCATCATGTTCTTTACGATCGCTAGAGTTTTTCTTGTACTGAAGTTGCTCGTTCATTGCTGTTGGTTTCTCTGTACTTTCATATGCATTAGATGATTCCTGTTCAACTTCGTCATTTTCTGCATTAGACTCCTTCTTACTTTTCTTTTCATCCTAAACAAAAAAACAATGTGAGATAAGTTGTTTGTGAAAATTCATTCTGTAGCCAAATCACAGTTACAATCGGATCCGGGTTAATTTAGGTAATATCTAAAAAAAAGCTTTATTCTACTTTTCTCAAAGCAAAAGATGAAACTAGGATAAATAAATCACTATTATTTCTGGTAAACGTTTCGAATACTTACATCAGAAATTTTCTTATACCATGATAAAATGTATATGGAAGCAGTCAGCGTCACACAGACAATAATGCTCAAGATCACTTCGGTTATGTTAACCATTTTCACTTTATCTAAGACATCAACATAACACTACAGTAAGAAAGAATGTACAAAAAAAAGAATAGACATTTTGACTGTTATTCACTAATTGCTGATTCACTGATTCTAATTTTTTTAATAGTAACACAGCATTAACTCTTTACTCCCGCCGGTCCCTTCCAAGGGACATCGCTGTGATGGGTTTATAAAAAGAATGGATCATTTGCTCAAAGGGCAGTTTTTTTTCTAATGTAAGACAATAGATAGTCCAACGTTGGATCGATATAAAAAGATAAATTTTGCATTTTAGTTCAGTGGGCATTTCAGCTGAAGCTATCATAAAAGTGTCTTCGGGGTAAAGGGTTAATGTGAGCTCTCATTTTCTGTATCCTCTTTCGTAATGCATTTCCACTAAACAAAAAAAATAGTTTTCTCTGAAAAACTGGTGGCGACATCCTTCTTGTGCTAGTAGGAACATTTAATCAATCAACCGTTACCGAGAGGAGATTACTTGCTCCTATGATAAGATTTTGTAGGATTCCTATTTTTTCGTTCTGTATATATTTTCTTTCTTTTTTTATAAGACAATAACACAATCATGTTTTGCAGTAATTTTAATACCATATCACCGATAAAAAAAAATTAAAGTTTGTTTAGAGTTAAAGAAAAGTGCTTTTTCGTATTCAGCACACTTGATAACCTCAAAAATTTTCCATTTTTAGCGAGGGATACCGACAAAAAGTTAAGAAAATTTTTCAAACAAATTGCCGCAGAAAAATCCCCATGGTAAAATTTTGAAAATTTTTCTTAACTTTTTGTCGGTACCCCTCGCACTACAAGATCTGATTACAGGATCCTATAAGAATCTTACAGTAGGATTTTGTAGAATTTTTTTCGCTTTGAGATTGCCGACAGAGTCCTACAAGATCATACAGAATTTTTGTAGGATGTCACAGGATCCTAAAGTAGGATCTTGTAGGATTATTTGACTTGGAAACGTGATTGAACTACCTTATATCTGTCGAGCTTAGCACATTCGGGATCAATTTACAACGACGCTGGTAACAAAAGTCGTTACAGCAAGGAAACGGCAAATCGCTTATCACAATCCGAAAAAGAATTATTCATTCTTCGAATGACGCGACCTAGATATATTTATAAGATACACTGCGGCACCTTTCAGAATTATTAAGATCTTTCTTTTCAAGGTAAATTCAAAGAAGCCATATAAGAATATTTCAGGTTTTAATCTTCTGTTTAATGTGGCATCCATCCAAAAAAACCACATGGGTAGAGGAGTATCGCTCGAGGAATTTGTTATTAGAATAAATAACGGCTCAGATCTGGAATATACCTTAAGAGAAATATTTATTCTCTAATGTAGTGGTACTTCTAGTGGGACTTTGAGCATAGGACCCGGTCTACACTATAAAAGTTAACTCTGGACTAAGGAATCCGATTGGAGTTGCTAAGTAGCAACACCAATCAAAGTACTAAGAGTAAATCATGGAGCGTTTAGTGCGTTTGTACGAAAATTAGAGCCTAAATAATTTTCGATTTTCTACAGTAGAATTGTATTTATATTAAAGTTACTGCAAAACACGTATGTGATTGTGTTCTCTTATAATAATGACTTTTGTTACCAGCGACGTTGTAAATGGATTCCCAATATACTAAGCTAGATAGATGTAAGGCAGTACAATCACGTTGATACTAAAGACTTAAACCTTTCACGTTCAACCTCCCCTGATCGTGCTAAAGCATTTTTCTTGCCTAAGTTAGCCCATAATCTCCTCTCGGGTAACGGTTGATTGATTAAATGCTAGTATTAGCACAAGAAGGATGTCGCTACCAATTCTTAGAGGAAACTATATATTTTCTGTTTAGTGGAAATGCATCACGAAAGAGGATACAGAAAATGAGAGCTCGCATTAATGTCGTGTTACTATCAAAAGTATTAGAATATAACTTCAGCAATAAATGCCACAAAGTTCTATAGAAAATTTGATCTAACAAGCCGTTTACGTTTCGGGGATGAATACGTGAAGAAAGATAAAAATTTTGTGATACATCACCACTTTTCGATTAGATTTTCCTAGACACGAAAACAACAAAATTAGCTCATTAACAGATTATTGCTATAATTATTGGGTGTATTTTCTGTATAGCTTGCATTTATAAAAGAAGTTTTCTAATGTAAGAGATATATTCTTCCCAATTATTTACGCTACTTGTGCTCGAAGAACATAACGTTGTTCAAGTCGGAGGATACCATAAAAAGTTTTTACCAACCTTGTGTAAATTATTCTGTTTTCAGATATATAGTTGATAAAAGTACAATTTCGAAGAAAGTGACAAGCTATGCCGGCGAAAGCTACAAAAGGGAAAAAAACTGAAAAAGAAACCGGTGGTTCTACAACATCGGGTGGTAAAGCGAAAAAGAAGAAATGGTCAAAAGGAAAAGTTCGAGATAAGTTAAATAATATGGTACGTACCCAACCCAAAACATCAACACCATTTTTATTGCAATTATTTTCCTCCTGTTGTAGGTATTATTCGATAAAGCAACATATGATAAATGTGTGAAAGATCTTCCACAATATAAATTAATAACACCAGCTGTTGTTTGTGAACGATTTAAAGTGCGTGGTAGTTTAGCACGATCAATTATTGGTGAATTAGTTAAAAAAGGTCAAATAAGACAAGTTGTCAAGCATAGTAAACAAGAAATTTACACAAGAGCGACAAAAGATGATGCTGCACCCGAAGCCGACGCAGCAAAATAAAAACACGATTAATACACATTGTTGTTTTGTCATGAAAATGTTGTTGTTTCCATCTTAAAAACAAAATGTTTCAATAAAAACATGTTGATTTCTTACGATAATTGTTAATCATTCTTTTAATCACGTTATTTTTTTTGGATGGTCTTAATTTTTTTCACAGGACGTTTCTACATCGACTAGTTATTGAAATTCACAAAAATAACATATACGGAAGTTTGGCTTAGTGTGCATGAAAATACCTCTATACAACTAAATAGCGAATGCTTGTTGTCAAGCTATCGGCATGACAATAGCTACTGGAGTAAATCACATGAAATAAAAAAATAGTGCTCTTTTTTTCCTTTGCTCGTTGCTGTTTCATATAATATCTGCGGCGAAACTTTGATTTTTTTCGGTGTTAATGTTCTTATTTGTTTAATTACAGATCAGATAATCACTTTTTATGTCTATACAGTCATCAAACCCACCTAAACGAAAAGAAATCTATAAATACGAGGCGCCATGGATGGTGTACGGAATGAATTGGTCCATACGGCCAGACAAACGTTTTCGTTTAGCTCTTGGCTCATTTGTAGAAGAATACAATAACAAGGTAGTAAAATGACTTTGCGAGGAATGAAGAGTATGATAAATGATTTATCATCATATATGATATTTCCTATCTTAGGTTCAAATCGTTTCATTAGATGAAGAAACATCCGAGTTTATACCACGCTCAATATTTGAACATCCATATCCAACGACAAAACTTATGTGGATTCCCGATACGGTATAAAATGGTTCACGCTACTAGATCAAAAAAGGAATACAGATTTATATTTTTCTTCCTTTCAGAAGGGCGTTTTTCCTGATCTATTAGCCACCAGTGGCGATTATTTGAGAGTATGGCGTACAAGTGACAATGAAACCAGACTGGAATGTTTACTAAACAATGTGCGTCTAGATTTAGAAACCTTGAAACCTTTCTTGCATTTTCTTGTTTGATTTTAGAACAAGAACTCTGATTTTTGTGCACCATTAACATCATTTGATTGGAACGAAGTTGATCCAAATCTTATCGGAACATCAAGTATCGATACAACGTGTACAATATGGGGCTTAGAAGTGAGTATTTTCAAAATTAGAAGCGGGCAGTTTATTAACAAAAATTGTTTTAGACCGGACAAGTTATTGGTCGTGTTAATCCTGTTAGTGGCCATGTTCGTACACAATTGATAGCACATGACAAAGAAGTGTACGATATAGCATTTAGTCGTGGTGGTGGTGGTCGAGATATGTTTGCGTCAGTTGGCGCCGATGGATCTGTTCGAATGTTTGATTTGAGACATCTAGAGCATTCTACAATAATCTATGAAGATCCCGCCCATCATTCATTATTAAGGTTGGCATGGAATAAACAAGATCCAAATTATTTAGCAACGTTTGCTATTGACTCAATGGAAGTGATTATACTTGATGTGAGAATTCCATGTACACCCGTCGCACGTTTGAATAATCATCGTTCGTGCGTGAACGGTATTGCCTGGGCACCACATAGTGCGTGTCATATTTGTACGGCAGGAGATGATCGTCAAGCATTAATATGGGATATTCAGCAGATGCCACGTCAAATAGAAGATCCAATATTAGCCTATTCAGCAGAAGGTGAAATTAATCAAGTCCAATGGAGCTCAACGCAACCAGATTGGATTGCTATTTGTTTTAATAATAATCTCGAAATACTTCGTGTATGAGACTTTTCTACAAAAGGAACCTCTCTTTCTACTTGGTTTACGTTTGTTTTACTTCGACTTTCCCTATGTGAATATATCTTAAAATCTTTGATTTGGTGTATTTTTATAGCAACTTCTCTTTTAAAGAGTTCCACTTTAAAATTACTTCTTTAGTCAGCTTGGGGCAGAATTCCCCAGACAGGCAATCACTTTTTGTTTAGCAATGTATTTGCCAAAAGTCAGCCTATATTCTGTTCGACTCTTTCAGTTAACTATGAAGGATAAATGTTTCATGTAGGAAATGATTATTTTGTACGGATAAATGTTTTTATCGCTAAATGCGCCTTGCTTTGTTTTAGTTTTTACTTTGTCTGTAAAATATATAAGCGAGTTTTTTATCTTTGTAAGATCTCTTCTCGTTCGCATTTACAATGCCTGTTTTTGTGTCGTCTTCTTGACGGTAGAATAGTTGAAACATACCGAGATCGATTCATTTTATATTCTGTCGTGTGTCGGTTGTTCTGTCATTATTATTCTATCTGTGTACGCGCGTACATTTTGTAAATACACATTGTCAAAGACAAACTATTTGCTTAAACGCATTTTCTTAAATCGGCCTTTTTGAAATGAATTATTCTCTTTCAGATCTTTTGGACGAGAGTTTAACAATTAAAAGAAGTTGGTGTGATGTCTTCTTTGTACCTATGTTTATTGTAAAAAGGAATAAGAATGCCTGTTCAGGATTCGGAATAACTATCTGAAAGGGTCCATGTATAACAGAAAATTTCTCCGTTGAACCATCTATCTCGTCCTTTGTTCCTCCTACTTTACAGAATGTTAAATTATTATCTGAACACTACACTGACTTTTTTTCTACATTTCAGAACGCTGTAAATCAAATATCTGCACTTCGTTTATCTTTTTGCTGCTCAATTAATTGATGTCTGGTCGCGGTAAAGGTAGGTATTATACACTCTGTTGCTTTTCCCATATATTACAATTGTTTTTCTAACTTAGGAGGAAAAGGTCTCGGCAAAGGTGGTGCCAAGCGTCATCGAAAAGTGTTACGTGATAACATCCAAGGTATTACAAAACCAGCAATTCGTCGTCTAGCCCGTCGTGGTGGTGTAAAACGTATATCGGGTTTAATCTACGAAGAAGTTCGAGGTTTGTTAAAGGCGTCATTTCTGGCGATATTCAACTCAATTTCTGTTGTGTTCGTTTTCACCTTACTTTAGGTGTATTGAAAATATTTTTGGAAAATGTTATACGTGATGCTGTCACATACACTGAACATGCCAAACGGAAAACGGTTACTGCAATGGATGTTGTTTACGCATTAAAACGTCAAGGACGAACATTATATGGTTTTGGTGGTTAAGGAATAATTAGCATTCATGTTCGGTAGCTTCAATACAGTCGTGTGTACATATAATTTCGTCAGATAAACTTTGGGATCTGTTAGTTATAAGCGATGTATTTCTTCGTTTATTCTCAACACTACTGGATTAGGCGCGATTTCGGTAGATTTTTCTCAGTAGATCTGTTTTTGTTAGTTATGTCTTCATTTTGTATTTGTAGAGCTCGAAAGGCGCACCAATACTTTTTATTGAATTTTACATATTTTCTTCTCGTTTTGATTTGTTACTGAATAGTTTTGCAAGCTTTTTTGGCATGTCAATTTCTATGTTCTCTTCCACTTCTTTTCTTGGAAGTATTTGATGTGTATTTTGAACAATTATAGAAATGTTAACAAGTTGGTACTTGTACTTTTTTCATGTGGAGATATCTGTGGTTTCTTTCACCCAATAGAGACCAAGTGTAGAAAACCCAACTCTTCCTCATGACTTCTTACTGTTTTCTTATGGTCAATGTATGTAGTGAATAAACTATAAATATGGTGTTTGTTTGACTTTCGCGCTGCTTGGAGAAGAGGATGTCATTTTTGTTCTTTACCTTTTAAACGCATAAGTGGGGTGTGTTCTTGCCATTGATCGTTCTTCACCCTCTTTACGACGTGCAGGTACTTATAATTCTCAAGGGATGTCGTTGTACTTTGTTTTTATGCACTTTTCAAGTGCATCATCTCTGAAACAAGAATCATCCACGCAAAGGCACTTCTACGAAACCAATCAAAGAACGACGCGTCATTGCGATTGTGAAATAACAGAATAAAGCAAGGGTTTGCTCTCGGAGTATAAAAGCATTACCCTACGAGAACTTTGCGCTTCTTTTTATTATTCACAATTGGGGTAAGTCAAGAGGAAAGAAAATAAAATTTTTTTTTTATTCACGCCTCTGTTTATCTTCAGACTCTAGGAAAGCAAGAGAATTTTGATTGGACACCTAATAATAAACAAAGACAGATGCAAAAATTCTGTACCTCATATTTTTCCAGGTTGTATTTCAAATCACTGATATATCCAGGAGACCATGCAGTCGTTTGAAGCTAATTCAACAATATTTTCTGGTTTTTAATTGAAAAGAAAGAAATGAGAGAAGACTCATTGCTTTTAATCAGCATTTTTTCTACATCGTTTTCTCTTTTCATGCTTCCACTTATGCTTGTATATCCATAATTAAAGAGATTTTGGAAATTCTTCTGGCTTTTCGTTTGTTCTTCGTAATACTGACTCCATTTTTGTCTTTTAGATCCATCTAAATTATATTCTACTTTTCTTCGCCTCATTAATTAACTAAAATATGTCTGGTCGCGGTAAAGGTAGGTATTATACACTCTGTTGCTTTTCCCATATATTACAATTGTTTTTCTAACTTAGGAGGAAAAGGTCTCGGCAAAGGTGGTGCCAAGCGTCATCGAAAAGTGTTACGTGATAACATCCAAGGTATTACAAAACCAGCAATTCGTCGTCTAGCCCGTCGTGGTGGTGTAAAACGTATATCGGGTTTAATCTACGAAGAAGTTCGAGGTTTGTTAAAGGCGTCATTTCTGGCGATATTCAACTCAATTTCTGTTGTGTTCGTTTTCACCTTACTTTAGGTGTATTGAAAATATTTTTGGAAAATGTTATACGTGATGCTGTCACATACACTGAACATGCCAAACGGAAAACGGTTACTGCAATGGATGTTGTTTACGCATTAAAACGTCAAGGACGAACATTATATGGTTTTGGTGGTTAAACAACGAGCAAAACATTCTTTCAACATAGAACTTGCCTTTCTTCTTGCTTCGAAATTTATCATAGTAGTTCCGTTGTATTCATGGCTTTTTTTGTGTGATCAAGAACTCGTATGCATTCGTTTTCATGACATTTGACCTTTACTGTAGCAAAATAACGTACTTCATTTGCTATTCGCGATTATCTCTCTCTTTCTGTATATATTACTTTTGTGTTTGATGTTGTAATTAATAAACAAATTTAGTTTAATCATGAAGAATTTTGAATTGAGTAAGGTTTTTGATTGAAAAGAAAAACTACAAGCTCAGCTTATAAATACAAGAACGGTTTATAGGCACAAATGAATTTTGTTACCACTGTATGAAAAGGCTCGAGCATCATCGTGCAAACGTTTTCCAATTCAGCCAAACTGAAGATCCGACTTTTATCTGCTGTAGTTTTAAGAGATTGCTGTTCGAAGAAAACAGCAGACATTAAAAATGTATTGAATGTTTGAATTTAAAATAGTAGGATTCTGTATGCTCTGTTTTACTATGGTAGAACTTAGAAATTTTGCAAAAATCTCTCAAATCTGCGTTCTTTCCTCCTCGCGGCAAGTGCGTATTATTAATTTGAAAGCCTATGCACTTCGCAAAATCGAATCGAAAAATTTTGTTTGCTGTATTTGTCTAATTTCAGCAATAGAAGTTCAGCAATAAACGCATTGGCTGAAAACAAGAAGACAATTAAGAGTTGAAAATTAAGGATTAAAAGATGAATAAAGACATGCGTAATCAATTTTTTTCCAACTCTATAAAATGTAACAGTAAAGGATGAATAGACATGTTCATGGGAAACAAAAGAGTTTTATTTATCTTTCATGATTCCAGATATTTTCCTTACAAACCGAACTTATAATCGGAGGACCAAAAGGAAACAATTTTCTATAAGACACAAATAACGTGTTGGGATAACTAAATTAATCGTTGATTTTTCTTACTATCTAAATAAACACCAGCAACGGTTTTGTGATATGAATATTGTTATGACATTTCTGAAATTAAAGTGGAATGAACATTTCTTAATAAGTAAAGAAACACAAATACGATCAAATCGCCATTGATCTATTAGTAATGTCGAAGACCACTGCGCCTGTCATTTAGAATCTTAAGAAAATTAATAATTAGACTAAGAAACTTGCTAGAGAAACTATTATTCCCTTGACTTTAGTCTAGGGTCTTACAAAATGGTTGTCTGTGTGTGTGCAAAATACGGAAAAATGGCTGTCGGATATTCTATGGATAAGCGAATCACAAGAGAGAAAAGTACAAAATTATTGTTTACACAAAACAAAAGAGAAAATCTTCAAAGAGATGACTGAAAAAATAATTACTGATGCAGAGAAAAACAAACTAAGCAAACGTTTCTGTAGTTGGGAGATATATGTCGCCAGAAATCAGTGCATTTTGATAACAGAAAAAAAAGTCATGTACGGATAATAAAACTTACACCCAGAATATCATGGCGAATCGATCAGAAATACTTGGAGCCTCCCTTCGGATCTTCAACAGAGGTCCAGAAAACTTTTTAGCGTTATATTCGGGCACATCCATTCTGGTCCGCTTAGTTTATACGGACATTACATACAATAGAATCCCATATTTGTTCGCAAAAAAAGTTATATTCTACATGCCTGTTTAGGGATGTCACGTGTTGACCTCTTTTACAATGAAGCAACTTTGGCCTTGTTTTTCGCTACATCTATAGAGTTAGCATCGACGTTTAATATACCATACGAAGAAGTAGCTCGAGTAGTATCAGTGCTGATACTCAAAACGTAGCCTACTACATGTAAAAGCGCAGGCCAAGTGTCACAAAATGGCCAAAAATGAAAAAAGGGCACTTAGTATTTCACCTCTGCTGAAGGCAAAACAAAACAAAAAAGTTCCTACACTATAGATAAGAATGAAGCTAAATAAAAGAGCTGCTTAATCCAACGAAAAAAGAACAAGGTCGATTGTACGTTTTTCTTTGAGTACGAAGCCCATCTTCGAACGACCTATTTTAAAAATAGCCATATTTCTGGTCTCCCAGCACAAACAGTTTTCAGGAAAATTTTTTTCTTTTTCTCTCGTTTGTAGTACTCTTCGAGCTCTACAAAATGACAACAAAGATATTTCTGGTCCGTTTCCTTTTCACTCTCTTTTCTCGATCAGCAAAATCAAAAATATAAATTACTTTTTTCAGTATTTTTGTTAGGAGAGTAAAAGTCATTTTTCTCGGATTCCGTATCAGCTGTGAAGACAATAAAAACATTTTCTTACATATTACATATTCGGACCTATAACGGAAACGTTTTCCAAAATGAGCGATATTTCAGATGGATCTAAACTGGTTGAGATGTCGTTCGAAACAAAAGTGAAGCGTAGACGAGCGCTACTTGTATTTTTAAGAAAAAAAAATGGGGTACCTTACATCCTCCATAAAGGTGAAGAAAAGTCATCACCAAATCGCCATCAACGTCAAAAAATGTAGAATCTGGCGCTTCACCCTCTATATAAATTATAGTAAAATCACCATTGTATACTTTTTCCTCCGATAAGAGTATAGATCTATAAAACTGTCTCGTCTAGGCAACAAACTAAAGTAATTTTTTAAAGCTATTATAATATTAAGGTTTATTTCATAACGAAAGTTACTTATATATTATCAAACGACAAACTAGCTCATTGATTAGTTGGTGCAAAGCAGATTATGATTCGCTCAAAAAGCTGCATGATTCGTTTCGGTAAAACGCTGTAATATAATGCTTGCCAAATGAAAATGGAATGCTATCAAAACGAAAGTGTATCAATGAAAATGATTATATTACCAATTTTGTTCAAGTTCTAAGTCTATATACTCTTATTAGAGGTTTTAGAAGTGGAGTACATGAAGGTAGTACATTCGAATCATTATGTAAGGTTTTTGTTCGTTCAGATCAACATTTAATTTGTGTTTTTTTTCTACTCAGTTCACTCTTATTAATGTGGAAAACAAGATATCATTCTCTTTTATGTTTTTTTTCTATTTCACTTCAGATTTAGTGCTCTATCTTTATTTTCAAACATGTCTAGCAGGTACAGTTCTTACTTAAGTCAATGAAGTGTATATATATATGTAATTAAGTTTGTCTCCCTCTAGTGTGACAAAAATGGATGTAACAACGTCATCAAGTACCGTAACAAAAACATTAAAAAAAGATGGAACAGATGCTAAAAAGATTCCAAAAGTACCTGAAGTACTTTTAAAACGACGAAAGCATTTTGCTGATTTGAAAGCAAAACGTTTACGAACACAAGTTCAAACAAAAAGAGTAAGAAGAGAAAAACAACTCGAGTTGTATTTATCTATTATCGTACTTTATTTTCTATATTTAGAACCAAAAATATAAACGTCTCTTAATATTTAAACGTGCCGAAAAATATGCTAGTGAATATAATAAAAAAGAACGTGATTTAATCCGTTTGAAACGGGTTGCAAAATCAAGAGGAAATTATCACGTAGCATCTGAACCATCGCTAGCATTTGTTATGCGTATTCGAGGGTATGTGATAAACGGTAAAGCGTCAGACGATATGATCATCTTTCTTGTTTATAGTATTCGGGGTGTACATCCAAGAGTGAAAAAAGTATTACGATTATTTCGTTTACGACAAATAAATAATGGTGTATTTATGAAATTAAATAAAGCCACATTACAAATGTTACGTATTGCTGAACCGTACATTGCTTGGGGGTAAGAAATGTTTATTTTTTTGTCAATAATATTTTTTTTAAACATCTAATTGCTATGTGGTTTTCTTTCTAGTTATCCAAATTTAAAATCTGTTCGTGAACTTATTTATAAACGTGGTTTTGGGAAAGTAAACAAAATGCGTATACCATTATCGAACAATGATGTTATTGAAAAATCTCTCGGTATATTTCATTAAATTAAAATAATAGATTTACTCGATATGCTATGTTTGTTCTAGGCAAACATAATATTATCTGTATCGAAGATTTAGTTCATGAAGTTTTTACCGTTGGAGAAAGTTTTAAAAAAGCAACTAATTTCTTATGGCCATTCAAACTAAATAATCCAAAAGGTAAGACATAGAAACAATCATGCACTGTTTTCTTTGGCAAACATTGAGTAAAGTGTGACAACGAGAATAATACAGCGATTAAGTATTCATCATGTTATATCAATGAACAATTCGCCTAAAAGAATTGAAGTATACGTCTTTTGTACATTCATCTATCACAAAAACAATATATTCCATAATGCTCTATCTATCATATACACTTTGTTTGCCTTTTAATCCACTTTGGATAAATAAATACTTATAATTTGTTGGCACTGTGATTTGAGTTTTGTAACATTCTTTTAAGAATTTTATTTTTTTTTATAGGCGGATGGAGAAAGAAAGCCAATCATTTTGCTGATGGTGGGGATTTTGGAAATCGTGAAAATTACATCAATCAATTATTGAGAAAGATGGTTTAAAATCATATTGTTTTGATTTTCATTTCACACATAATAAGCATAAAAGAAAAGAAAAAGCAAATTGTTTGTTATTTGTTCATTCGTGGCCATCCGTTTTTATTGTTTTGTTTAAGAAAAATAAAATAAATGTCATCATCGAAGGTTATGCATAACCATTTAGCTTCTTGTAAATAGGTATCGGGGACATCAAGGAAACAGATCAAAGAGTGAACCAGAACAACTGACAATTTAAAAAGTATAATCTGCCGTTTTTTGTCTAGTTTAATACAACTTTTACACGCGTAGAAAAATGACATCCTTTTCCACTAAAGAGTTTATAACTAGCTGAGTTCTAACTATTTTATTGGTCAAAATAATTGAATGATTGATCGATTCAACCCTAGTTATAACGCTTAGTCGTAGTTATAACTATCAAACTATTTTTCTCGTCCTGTAAATTATATAACGACCATTTTGTACGACGAAGTGGACAAGTTTGACAGATAGCCATGTACACGGACACACTTATACGTAGTAAAATGCAATGAAAAAGTTAGTTATTATTTTTCACAAAAAATGTCTGAGGATGTACTCGAAAACGCAACTGAATATTGAAATAAACACACAGGAGGGCGAAAAACGATTGAACATCGTAAATGCGCATGGTAAATACTGTCTAAAATTGTTATAGTACACAAAATTACCTGTCATATATCAACACATTAATGTAGTTATCCATGAATAAACTTGTTATTTTTTGTTTGTGAAAAATATTTCCGTATCGATTTTCTTTTTTGAAATATGAATGAAAAAAAGAATGAATGATTCAAAATGAAAACCTTCTCCGTGAGTACTTCGATATAAATATAAAATTGAAATTTTCTTATTTTTATCTTGAGTTATAATATTAACTTCGGGTTCTATCTATTTCAACCTCTGTTATAACTTATAAAATCGATCATCTACGGTTGAAGGTTATAACTGAACCAACTGTTTGAGAAATTCTGCCAACTTTTAACTTTTAGTTTTAAACTATTCAGTGGCCTTTTCTCAACATCGATTTTGTTGTTTGTTTAAAGTGAACAATTCACAGTGGACAATTTTGACTAGGCAAGCGGACATTTAGTTTTAAAGCACTAACGAGGGAACATTCCTAGCTGTCCAATCCCAATTTCTTTCAAACATACATCAATCGATAATCTATATCAAGATAGTAAATAGCCTAAAAGGATTTATCCCTATGGCTCTTGAAGATCCGGTTTTCCAGAAACTAAAAAAAATAACCGAAACGTTTCTTAATAAAGCATGATTGTAGCCTGGAAATTTCTGATTAAAATGAGACGCTTTCCAGCTCTACATGACCTTTCTTTGCAAAGTTATAGAATTTACAAGAAAAGCCCTAAATGTTCATTGTCAGCTCAAAGCTACGAAAATAAGAAGAAATCAATTTAGGGCTTTTCTTGTAAATCCTATAACTTTGCAAAGAAAGGTCATGTAGAGCTGGGAAACGTCTCATTTTAATCAGAAATTTCCGGGCTTTATTAAGAAACGTTTCGATTATTTTTTTAGAGTTTCTTGGAAAACTGTTTTTCCAGAAAACCGGGTCTTCAAGAGCCATGGGGATAAATCCTTTTAGGCTATTTACTATCTTGATATAGGCTATCGATTGATGTATGTTTGGAAGAAATCGGGATTGGACAGCTGGGAATGTTCCCTCGTAAGAAAAACTATAAAAATTGTTTTTATAGGCTTCCGAATGTGCTCTTTCCATTGGCACATTTTTCAAAGTTCCAAAAACCGTTCTTCTGGATTTTCTGAAAAAACAGATACTTTGAAAATCCAAATGTACTCAAAATCATGCCAAGTGTCTTGGCAGTTGGTAATTATAAGCCAAGTCACTAAACTTTTGTACTGTTTTGTTGTTGTTCTTTGTAATTTTCGTATTTAGCGCACAGTGGGCATCCAGGCGGACATTAGGCAAAAAATCGAAGTAACTCTTTTCTCAAATATAAATAGTGTAAAATGTAGCTGTTCAAATTCTCTATCGAATGGTGTATAAATGTCTATTTTGAAAATG